CCAATTTGTCAAAATTGCGTTGTTGGACATCTTTCAGAAAAAACCGTTTTTATGAGAATGTATAATATTACTTAAGCTACTTCCCTGTGAACCTGTGCAAAAACTGCATCAAGTTTTGATATATATTCAAAATTAAAACAGGGGATCAGGTGCAGGGTTATTAATCGATGACCATCGATAACGTCAGCTTTAACGCTTGCAATGGTGAATTTGCATTACAGACGTTAACGCTGACGTTGTCAAAGGGTTATCGATTAACAACCGGGTTCAAGTGTGTCCTCTACGCATTGCCGCAATGTCCACTACGAACCGTTTACATGTTCACCTATGTACATAATTTGTCGCGACTGTTTTCTGTAGTAATCAGAGATAAGCCACTTCCTCTGTGGCTTTCAAAATATGTTCTGGGGCCATCAATTGACCATTGCCACTCTGGTCTATTGGCATGATATGTCTTTATTTTTAGTTTTTACAATTATTAAATATGATTGTTTTTTTAGGATCTTGAACCAAGTCTTTACTTGATGATGGATTTAGAATTTATATCAAGTGCATGTTAACTGTACCTAGGTATATCTGTTTTGGATTTGTTTTTTCTTCGAGAAAATCGAAGCAAAAACCTCTCTGAACTATGAACATTGACCATTTGCAGTATTGTTGAAGAAATATCTTCAAATTATTTTAAGAATCACTTGATGTTGTCGTTCAGAACTCTCAAAAACAAATATGGCATTTTTAAATACAGTCAGTTTAATTTTCTTTTCCAATACCATCGTTAAGGAAAAAAAATAAGTCAAAAAATAAGTGGATACTTCAACTCAGAAATCTGAATTTGCATGATATTTTTGTAAAAATATACCAAAGAAAGTTTGTATTTATTGAACTTTTTAACGTTTACTAAACACAGCCAAACTGCATCTCAATTCTACCGGTGCACCTATACAATTTACCCATATTAGATTAGTTGGAATGCTTCAAACAGCACAGTTTAACACTGTTTGTATCAACATCTTCCTCTTTGTTTTGAGCTCATCTACCCCTTTCTCCATGCGAGCATGTTCGTTGTGCTCCTTTCGATTTCATTTTATTACCTTTGCCTAATGAAAAACTCCACCAACCCGCGAGCATCCACCTACCCACATACTCCAGCACAGCAGTCATCACTGTGGCGCGCGAGCGATCATCGTTCCACATTCGGTAACAAGTAAAACGATGACAACGAAAATGAGCGCGAAAACGACAACGTGATAGCGCCTCCACTATTATCTCATCCGTACCGCGCGGTCGCCTGTCTTGCGCCACTAAGCATACATACGGATGAAGATGATGGAGTAAAGGTTCGTCGCTTCGCGGATACATACCACCTTCGCTATGCTGCTGCTTGCCACCCGCCGTCTCATAGTGTAGCGTTGAAATCACTTTCGATTTCATTTAGCGCGATCCTCCGCGAGGCAGCTCCGTGAGAGCGATTGCGGGTTCTCCCTCTCTTGCTCCGTCGGTATAGGCGGTAGTAGGTCAGTTCTCGGATGGAAGCAAAACGAAGAAAATGCACTCCTAGCTGGGGGCTGAAGAGGAACCTCGAGAGAAGCCGATCGTGCAGCGTGGTGCCGCGCCGGGTTCGGTTCGATCGGAAGGTGGTCTATGATGATCGCGAGCGGTGTTGAAGAGGCAAAGAGATCGGTGTTCAGGAAAAGAGCTTCAAAACAGTCCCAACGAAAGGGAGAGTGGTGGAGGCTGAAATGACAATGGTTTAAGAAATACACTGCACTGTTAATATGATAACATAAGCTGGAGCCCAAGCAACACATCTTCATGGAATTCACAAAGGTTATATTAACTGTTATAGAACTCGTCTTTTACTTCTGAGGCTTAGCAGAATAGGTAGATTGGAAAACTTTTTTTAGAAATGAAGAAAATGTGTTGACATTTTTTAAAAACTAGTATTTAAAATAATACTTGAACAAGCACCATTGATAAAAATAAGGTGCAAGGAAATTCAAAGCATCCAGTTTAGTATAAAAAACAAATAAACATTCAAAAACGCTAGCAAAAAGCTCACACAATGAATAAAAGGGATAGTAACAACGATAATTTGGTAATCTGTTTAAACATTTGCGACCAACTAAATCTAGCCATTTATATTGCATGTGAGGAACTCTTGCCCAATAAATTTCTTTAAAGGGTGTATTCGATAAAAAATGGCACACACATATTTACTCACCAAAGGTTGATACGGACTTACAATCAAATTTGAGAATCGCGAATGAATTAGATTATCTAACTTCCGTACGTCAAATTAATCTTCTTCTTCATTAGCTTTATTACGTCCCCACTGGGACACACCGGTTCTAAACTAATTGTTTTTTGAGCATTTCTACTGTTGTTACTTGCTAAGCCTGTACGATTTTTCCATTAGTATTATTATTATTATTATTATTTATATGATTTATTTGAACTGAACTTTAACTTATTGTTATTCGGGACGACTGGAGATTTATTACAATAGATTAATTCAGTTAAACATGTTCTACTTCTTTTAGTTTAGGCTGCTCGTTGATTGGGCAGTTTTTATCGAGGCTCGGTAGCTCAGTGGTTACCGTTTCTGCTTACTGAGCAGAAGGTCGGGAGTTCAATCCCAGGCCCGTCCCCTTCCTTGCAATTTTTCACTTTGCCTTATTCTATACCCACTAGATTTTAATGAAAAACAAATTCTTCTTTAACACCGATCGCATCACTTACCACAGTGTGGGTCCTGATCTAAAAATAGAAATTGTGGATGAGTGCGCGCGCGTGTGTGTGTTTGTGTATTATAATCGCTCTACCAAAAAACGATCCCTGCGTGTGCGTGCAACCTTTCCCCACATCCAACATCCCAGTGATTTCTCGTGGAAGCGCAGAGGATTTCTCGATTTCCTTCACAGCGAGTACCACGTCAACACATTCCCTCCCATTCCCTAGTTGACCTGCATTCGGACACGGCCGGCGCTGGTATTGCTAAATATTAGATCTCCAGTTCGTACACATTGAGGATGAATGTTAGTCCCAAACATCATCTGTTGGTTCTCTGTGTAATTGCAGTTGATCTGGTAATAACAGAGCAGCAACCGTGGGCGGCCAAACTGATTTTTTTTGTGATTGGGCAGTTTTTATCCCTTGCTCCGTCCATCGACAGAACCAAACCAATAGTCCTATGTTTCAACATTGCCCTAACACCGTAGAGGATCTAGAGCACAAGTTCACTAATTGTCAACAAATCAGTACTCATATTCAATATTTAGTCAACTTGCATGCAAGGTGATCTCCAAACCAGCAAGTGAATTGTTAAACGCTGAAATATCGTCAAAACTACAAATTGTGCATCCATGGTATGTTCGGATGACAGCTGTATTTAATTGTCCTTTTATTGGGGATAATATTTTTTTTATTAAAATGGTTTTAATTATTTTGGTACCGAATATTTGGAAACTTGCATGTAAATCTTGGTGCAAAGCTTTATTATGTTTTTCGTGCATTCTAGGCATCTACTTTCTCAAAACAAGAAATTCTATCAACCTCTTATACTGTATGAAAAATAGTTTTGAGGAAGCTATATAGTATGTTAAGTGACTTATGAGCGATCAAAGTGAAAAATTAGCCAAAAAGCCATTTATTCTCCAAAAGTGCTTTGTGTCAGGTCATGTGATGAGCAAATGAGCTTATTTTCTGCACAGGGCCTACATAGGCTTGCAGAATGCAAATTATAGGTGGTGAGAAAATAAAAAGAGATCATTGCTGAAAAATGATACAGCTCACTGACTATGATATCAGAGGCACCAACAAATCCAAACCCATTTTAGCTGATTATAAGCTGAAAGAGTTTCTTTTTAGCGTAATTCAGCCCAAAAAAACAATGGATTAGTATCTGTCTGTGAGGACCACCCTAGACATCCTAATTTAGCCGGTAGCTGCTACTGAGGTACATCTGTTGGCTATTGTACTGGCTATCGACCAGCCAGGCAGATTGTTTTGAAGTTGGGTATTGTTACACGCATCGATCGAGCAGCATCCAGACCGATACAACAGCAGCTTCCTTTGACGTCATCGATGGGAGATGGAGATGATGCAGAGAGAGATTCGCCCGGGTTAATCGTGTGACAGAAATTCACCACTAGACTTCGGATATGGGTTTAGTTTTTTATTGCTGACAGAGTCACCAAGACCGGTCATTTGTGTTAGAATTAAGCCAATGTTTGTTAGTGTTAAGAAGAATAAATGTAGTGCTGTGTAGTTAGTGTTTCCATCAAAAAATGGATTGTAATTGTAATTAGCCCAATAAGGGAAAGTGCCAAACTGTCCTGCCGTCATTATCATGCCTTCGAACTAACCGATCGCTTGCTGCACGTACCATCGAGTCGCCGAAGACGATGTAAGAGTGATTCATCGCCATTCCCTCTCCAGAGCTATCCGCGGTTCAGGTAATCCAACAGTATCATTAGGATTAAGATTCTTCAAGTTTCTGTCTTGTTTTCAATTGGATCTAATGTGCATTTTTTTTCGTGTTGACGGATAGCATTTTAGCAGGTGCATTATGAGCTGCCTTCCCCAACATGAAGCGTTTTCTCCATTACCAGATTTTCCGGTTACCATTTCGTGCATTGATCAAATACTGAGCTAGATCACCAACCGGCCATTTCGCGAGACCTCTACTCGCGCTTGTAAGCATACTTCATGGCATGCGCTCGCGGCAAGACCTGTGTGCAACCTCCGAGAGCCACCACTCGGCGACGAGCCCCAAATTGACAAACAATCTCGATTCGTAATTTCCCATGTTGCGCGAACGATGCAGAGCTCTTGTCGAGCACTCTTTTAGTTGCCGTTTACCCACGGTCGGATTCGGTCGGATTTTCAGCAAGCGCAGCGCTTAAAGCCCAGTGTTTGTGGGCTGCAGTGTGTGCCTCAACCAAACCAAACCCCCCACAGCCATTGGTTGGCACATGCACATGGTTGGTGCTGACGGTCCTTCTCGCGATCGTCGTTTTTGTTTGTTTGTTTATTTGTCTGTGAAGTTGCGCGCGCCCGCGTGAGAATTTCGAACATTGCACGTCTCCGCTACCGTTGTAAACACGCGATCGTGTGTGAAAATTTCCAGCTACTGTGCGAAGCGGAGTTTCCCCTTCGGGTGTACTTCATGTTGGATTTTTGTGTTGCCTTATGGAAAAGTCCTCTGTGTCTAAGACCTCCGTATTTGTGGGTGCCCGCGAGTGCAATTAATCGCTTAATTTTGTTTTTCTTCACACGCGCGTGTTTTCACACTCCGTTACCGCTTGATTGATCAATTAATTTCCACACTGATCGATCTCACTTGTGCGGCAGTGAATTTTCAACATACTTCCTTTCTGTGAAGCAACTGCTTGTGTTTGTACTTCATTTAATTTCTGTGTGTTACTTTTCAGCAACAGTCTTGTCCTTGAAAGTGTTTTCAATTGAATATTCATGAATTTGCAGCAAAACAGCAACAGTTGACTGTTTTTTTTTTGCCCAAGTGTTATTTTGCAACAGTGCTAGCGATCGAAAATGGTGAACAAACAATACAACGTCCATAATCCGAAGCTGTACAAGTCCAAGAGTGGACAAAATTCTCCACCGCCAATGCGAAGCTTATCGGAGGTATCCAACCAGCCGAATCCTCCGGATGTGAGCGGCTCGTTGGAGAACAATTTGAACCACAGTACAGAACATCATCACCATCACCTTCACCCCCATCGCCAGCAGAATCAAATTCAGAACAACTTGGATTTGGTGGATGTTCGCCGTCGTACCGGGGGCTCCAATACCCCATCAGAGGAAGATTTTGGTGAAGATGGTGTCTACGGTCGAAACATAACATACTACAGTGAAACCGCCCAGCTTGGTGGTGCCGGTTGTGAAAGCCCAACAGGCGTCGGGCAGAACGAGCGTCTCAATGTGAAGGATTTGACCATCAATGACATTGGCCGATTTCAGTACATTTTACAAATGGATCGAGAAGTGGTAAGTATTCGCTCCTCATGTAGAAAGCTCAGCAACTTTCCTTCCTCCTTTCGATCGTCTGTATAGAGTGATGTGATTCGATTTAATTGAATCAAAAAACGTGGAAACGACACGCGAAGAACAAGAAAAGTGTACCTTGTAGATTTGGTTGATCTTGATTTTACAGCATTGTGGAACGAAGAATTGATCAATTGGGATTGAGAGAGTTGAAGTGATTTTGGGGGTCGTTTCTGATGATGCAATCAAAACCATGCACACCGCAAATCTCATCAAGGCATAACAATTTAAATTTCCTATATTTTAAGGTTTTATAAGGGCCTTCCAAGCTCAGTCTGTAAGGGAGCAGCTACAAAATATAACCATGCGGGAGGCGGTGAGTTCGGTTCTTGAGTTAGTCGAGCAATTTTTCGGCATGCCACACGATATATGAATGCAAAAATAGCACAGATTCAGAGAACCTTCTAGTAAAAACTGACAAAGTGCTCAAATATCTTCATAAAAGCCATGAAGAAGATAAAGAAGATGATGATGTTTGGAAAAATATTTAAGGTAGGAGGAATGCCTATTATCTCAATCAACATTGTTGGCTCAGCAACTTTCCTTCCTCCTTTCGATCGTCTGTACAGAGTGATGTGTTTCGATTTGATTGAATCAAGAAACGTGGAAACGACACGCGAAGAACAAGAAAAGTGTACCTTGTAGATTTGGTTGATCTTGATTTTACAGCATTGCGGAACGAAGAATTGGTCAATTGGGATTGAGAGAATTGAAGTGATTTTGGGGGTCGTTTCTGATGATGCAATCAAAACCATGCACACCGCAAATCTCGTCAAGGCATAACAATTTAAATTTCCTATATTTTAAGGTTTTATAAGGGCCTTCCAAGCTCAGTCTGTAAGGGAGCAGCTACAAAATATAACCTTGCTGGAGGCGGTGAGTTCGGTTCTTGAGTTAGTCGAGGAATTTTTCGGTATAGCACAACTGCAGTTAAGAAAACCTTCTAGTAACAAATGGCAAAGTGCTCAAATATCTCCATAAAAGCCATGACGAAGATAAGAAGATGATGATGTTTTGAAAAATATTAAAGGTTGGAGAAATGCCGGCTTCGGTAATACCTTCACCTATTATCCCAACCAACATTGTTGGTTTTATTATGGCATTTAAGTCCATTCCAGGACCTCCCTTAGCTCAGTCGGTAAAAGCGCAGCTACAAAACAAGACCATGCTGGAGGTGGCTGCGTTCGATTCCCGGTCCGTTCTAGGAATATTTTGGGTTAGAAAATTTCTGAACTTCCGTGGACATAGAGTATGATTGTACTTGTCATTATACTAATGCAAAAATGGTACAAGCATCTAAAGCACTCTATTTATAACTGTGAAAGTGCATCTAGAACAGTTGAGAGCACGCAATAAGCAAATATGCGATTAGCAATAAGCTTGAAATGAGAAGAAGAAGAAGAAAGTTATAGAAATATTAGACCCAATTTTTTATTATTTTGTCATTAGGGTGACCATTTCCATGTTAGGGTGATCAATTTTTTTTTCAAAATGACTTTTTTTTTATTTTTACCTTTTGAACCACTTTTAAAGACTATATATCAAATAAAAGGTTAATAGAAACACTTCTTAGGAACAAATATAGTGAAATTAAATAATTGGGATTTTGTTTTGAAAAACATTGAATGTATTTTTTTATGGATTTCATAGTTTGTAGACAGAGGGCGCAATATGTTTTATATTTTTCCTAGAAAATTTAGGCATTTTTACACAATATATATAAAAAATCAACAACTCTGGAAGTTTTTTTGATGAGGATATAGAAAATTCCTTTATCACCTTGACTACCGCTCATCGCAAGTCGGTCCCATTTGCTTTTTTGTCTAAACTGAGAATTTCAATGGAAATTAATTCTAAACACCCATATTTTCATAATACTTGATAAAATCATTAACTTTGTTCTAGAAAAGTTTGGAAAAACAGCCAAATAGGTTTTCCCATCTCATAAGAAGTAATGGTACGAAGAAACATAAAATGCGTTTTTCTCAGCTTACTGTTTTGTGCTATGGGACGGACTTGCGGCAGTGGAGCTTTCATATTTTGAAACTTTTTTGTATTTAGATCTTACTTTTTCTCAATCAGTCCTCCAGGAATCATCAAAAATATTTTCCCCAGAGAAAATCCCAAGCAACCTGATTCTTAATAGGAATAAATAGTATGACCCAAAATGAAACAATGGGAACTCTCGTGCATACCAAATTTCTGAGCTATATTCAATCACTGGGATTTTAAGGTCTTTTCATAAAATTTATGAGCTCGGGTTTGAGGGTTTGGAACTCGGGTCTAATTTCGAAACATTATTTTCAGAAAAAGATTATCCTCAGGGCAGAGAATCGCTTTTAAATTTGCTTTTGCAAATCTCTCCAAATAATTTTTATGGCAGGATCACGTGTTCTTTGATATTGCCGCGTACGAACATTTTTCAGACGGATCAAGAGCTGATGATCGTCGTCTATTATAATTGAATCGAATTTATCCTCGCATTTCTGAACTTTTGAAACTCTTGCATCAACTATACTGCCTTTATACGCATAACTGTCTCATGTTCTATGCAATCTTTATGCACCGTGGGATTCTTATGCGTATAACGGCAGTAAGACCCAAACTGATATTATGGGAACTCTCGAATTGGTTAGCAAGTTTCTGAGCTTTTTCAAAATTTGTGATTAAAATTTCACCACCTTCTTTAAGCGCTAGAATAGGCTTTTGAGGGTTTTTTTTCAAATTTTTTGTGAGTTTCCAAAAGGGTTTGGAACACGGGTATAATTTCAAAACATTAATTTCAAAATTTTTGTTCCAAAACCCGCCAGATAACTTTCATGGCAGGATCGCGTGTTCTTTGATATTGTCTCCTACGGACATTTTTAAGACGGATCAAGAGCTGAAGATTGCCGTCTATTATAATTGAATCGAATTTAAACTCGCATTTTGGTACTGAGGCAGCTCTTGCTTCAACTATAGAAGTAGTCAGAGATTCAAGAGCATAATTAATTTCATATTTGGTTTGCAAAGGAATATTTGGATCAAAGTCATATTCCATAAATGTTGGGATTAGAAATTATTTCTTGGGATATTTCAAAAAGTTAGAGCCGAAGTCAGCAATTGCCTATTAATTCGACATGAGTCAGTTAAGCTCAAATCAACAGTTGAGGGGTTTTATGATGAAGAAAATCATGTTGGGCTGTTTGGATATTGAATAGTGTAATAACCTGCAGAGCAATCATCAAATAATATATTGCAATTGGAATTGCATTGAGCATTATTCCATGAGCAATGTTTTGCTTTAAAATCACCAATAATGAAGAATTTATACCTATGACGGGTAAGTTTCTGGAGGTCATTCTTGATAAAAAATCTTTTGCTTGCCTACGCATTGGAAAGGCAAATAGGCAGCTATAAACGTAAGTTCTCCAAATTTGGATTCGATGGAAACTCACTAAGTTTCAAAAACTTTGGTTTCTAATAAACAAAGAATTTGATGCTCGATACGTCTAGGAACAATGATGGAAACGCCGCCACCAGCTCCATTAAGACGATCATTTAAATAATTGAAATAATTTGCGTCCCTTTTAATCTTATGGTTAGGTTTAAGGAACGTTTAAGTTATAACGGCAATATGCACGTTATAAACTCTCAAAAAGTTAACTAGCTTGACCTCATTATCTTTGAGATCGAGCATTTCAATACAAAATATTTAATGATTTAAAATCCATTGCTGAATTTCAAAGTCATGACTATAATTTTGACAAATTTCACTCCAGTTTGAATAGCATGAAACATGGAGTTAGTTTTTAGCATATAAGTAATCATGTCGATTAATGATTACGGCGATTATCCATTTTAGGAGCAGTAAGTCAAAATCATCCAAATTTACGTTAGTATTATGTGGGCTAGAATTTGGAATTCGATTTTTACCACCTGCAATAGTACAATAAAATAGGTAGTTCCACTTACTTGCTAAACATTGTTAGCAGCAGGTTTCGATGAAGAAAATGAAGCAACTGAGCTGTTTGTATCTACGGGTACGAATGTAGAATTTGTTTCCCGCTGACCGTTGTTAACAGAAGAGTAGTAAGTATTTTTTGACAATCCATTTTTGAATCTGATCCAGGGATTCACCACTGGACTCACAACACAATCTTGAACATACGTTCAGTTTTGGTGTCGTAGGTGAAAATTTGGTGTTGCTTCTCAGTAAGATACTTGAGAAGACGTTTGAATCCTGCCAAGGTTTCAGCCAATACATAGCATTCACCCTGACTGCTAATTTGCAGTGAAAACTTGAACTTTTGAACTTCGTTAGAAGTTCAAAAGTTCCGTGCGAAGAGCATGGAAATTGAAAGTGGTTATCACAATAGGGAGGACCTTTTTCTTCTTGGGACTAAGATGGGAATGTTTAATCTTTAATAGAATTTCATATCATAGCATATCAAATTGATTGCTCAAATAAATTTCATCAGAAGGGGGATCAAGATATTGCCATTTTCTTTTGCGTTTAGGCCCCATAGCGGCCCATTATCCAAATCGACATCCAGAGGAATTTTCCAAATCGATATCCAAGTAGGATTACCTCGGGTAGGGTCTTTCAGGAAAAGGTAAATAGATCCGCCATAGAGCACGATGCGGATTGGAAAATTGTTATGGTTATGTTGGCGTATTCAAGATTATTTTGAGAGTTTACATGACGTTTTGAAAAGTAATTTCAGTGCTTTGAGACCATTGTTGTGATGTTGTGCAATTTACCATTTTGTCAAGCTTCTGCATTAATTTCCCATCAGATGTCACTGCTGTTGTTTCTGGTGACATCTCTTGGAATCAACGCTTATTCTGTTTTCCGTTAATTGTTTACAGATGACAGTGCAATGCAAAACATGTCTGGTACCTCTATATATGAATTAAGATTAACACCCGAAGTCCCTCCTTTTTTACATATTCTGCACAAA